TGGTGTCTCTGCCTCTCCCCAATTTCTGTGGACTCTGCACAGCTCTTAGTTTGAATGCAGGCTGATTATGAAGGGATAACTCCACACAAAACTCAAAATAATGGCTGTTCCTGGGGCGCAATCTCAATCCCACACAAAAGAAAGAAAATATAACAGACTAACAAAACACAGTCCAGGGCCTCCTGCTGCCCTGAGGACAACGCTCCTGTACCTCTGGTACTCTTTTGGTACAAGTTCCCCAAATCTCTGGTTAGTTCTTATTTTCTCCTTTTTTCTTCAGGGGTCCAGTTCTCCTCCCCTTTGACACAGTTAGGTAGGGGTTGTAACTGAGTCCTTAATACAGCCCGAGGAGGAAAATCTCCTCACTCAAAAATGGGTTAATTAAGCATCACAAATACTTAATTAACCTGAAGCAAAAGGAAAGTACAAGCCCTCCCAGAAAATAACCAACTTAATTATCAACTGGTATTCATCCAGATTCCTTGCATTTTGGTCCAGCATAGGGTGCTGCTACTAATCCTTGCAGTCTGCTTGCCAGGCATCAGCAACTGGAGACTCCTGCTTCTCCTGAAGTTTAACTAGGGGTCATCTTTCCCTTCTCAAGGGATCCCACCAGACTCTTCAGTCGCCCTCTAGCCACTCTCAGCTTGCAGGCTTGCAGCCCTAGTCCAGAGCTGGACACAGGCATGGGCGAACCAGGTGGCCACCCAGGGCCCAGACAGAAAGGGGGCCCAAAAATGGTAATTTTTTAATTATCTCTGGTGAAGGGGGACCCAATACTAGAAGTTCACTCGGAGCCACCAGGAGTCTAGGCACGGTGCTGCTCTAGCCTGCTGGAGGACTCTCTCATTTCCAGGTTCCGGCTATACCAGAAGTGAGAGCACACTCTGTTCTGTCAGCGTCCTCCCCTTTCTGGCCCTTCTGGGATCCTGAATAGCTCCTCCAGGTGTCTCTCCTTCAATCTGAAGGGAGAGGCTGCTTTTAAAATGCCAGGCCTCAGGCGCAGTGCAGTGTGTTAGCTCAGGGATCTGGTGAGTGTGGGGCTGCTGCACAGCCATTCCCTGCACCTCTTCCCTGTTCTCCTTGGCTCTCTCACGCTGTGTTCAAGAAAAGGTGAGAGGCCCTTCATCTGGAGGTTTTAGCTACTAAACTAGGCGCCTCTTGCTGAAGGCCGAGGGAGGACTAACAGATTGAATGCAGTTTTCATAATCTAAGTCTCAAGGCTCCTGGATGTTTCTGAGGACACTGGCACCCCCTATCTTAATGACAGCCTTTCTTGTCAGAGAATGTCTGGCATTCAAAAGCTTGTCTAGTCCAACTGCATAGCTGGTCCAGTAAAAGATACCACCCTAAGAAATCCTTGCCTCTTGCAACCTTTGCTAAGTACAAAAGGTTAGGTTGCCTTTCATTGCCTTTGTGCTGCCAAAAAAACAGTTATGGCCAAACAGATATCCATACCCCTTGTCAAACCACAGATAGCAGCCGCAACAAAGTTGGTATCAATACATGATGCTATTTAGTATAGTGGGCTTCTTTAGTTTATGGCACAAGAGCGTAGGTAGCCTGGAGCTGCTCACACTCTCCAAACAGCCTGGGCAGGTGTTCTGGGGGCTTGAGAGCAGCAATCCTGCACACTCCAGGAATTCCCACATAGGCTCAGACGCCTCCAGACCTAGGAGCACCTGCCCATCTTTCCCCGTTCACAGAGAGATGTTTCCATGAGCTTAGAATTTCTTTAAGTCAAAGGCTCAAAAACCGTTAGGATTCTGTATAGCAAGCAAGGTGAAGAAAACTGTAAGGCCAGGCTTCTGGACTTCAGTGGGAGAATGGAGCTGTGGAACTGAATGAAAGGATCTCCATCAGAGGATATTAAGAATAAGCAAAGAGGCTACAAGAAATGGAAAGAAGGCCTGATTGGCAAGGAGAGTTGTGTTCTAGAGACCACAAAGTGCAGTGTGTGACAACTGCCTAAAGTCAAGCTTAGTTTTATTTTTGTGATCAAATAGCCAAAGGTCCTGTGACCACAAAAATAAAAAAAGGGTATAATGAAAGAAGTGGTGTCACTGTACATTGAGGATAGGGTAGAGATGAAAAATAATTTAGGTGTGGCCCAAAAACTTAAATGAACAATTTGCTTCACTTTTCAATAAGGAGAATTACATCAATCAGGGGGCAAAAGCAGAATGGAAAATGGGAATGAAGATATGGAAAAGGAAATTACCGCAACTGAGAAAGGAACTAAACTCAGAGTTTAATGTACTCAAATCACTCAAGTTTCCATCCCAGAACTCTAAAAGAACGGCTGGCATATCCAGCAGCAAGAACTTTTAATAAATCTATGGAGTTGTTTAAAAGTGTGGTACCATGTGACTGGAGAATAATAAATGTGAGGTAGCTATATTTAAGTGAGCAGAGGGGTTGTAAGATGATCCAGGCAACTATAGGCCTGTTAATCTGTATTAATTAAATGCAGGGTTTAGAGAAAAATTGAAGACAAGAATAA